TATTGTGTTGCCCCTTTGACAAATAAGCAAACGGAATTAGTTAGTATCCTAAGTTAGTTAGTATCCTATGGGCGATCGTGGCTCAACAGTTGGGAGGTTGCCTTGTAATCTTAAGGTTGCCGGTTTGAGGCCCGGCGTGGACAGTCTCGGTCGTTGTGTCCTTGGGCAAGACACTTCACCCGTTGCCTACTGGTGGTGGTCAGAGGGCCCGGTGGCGCCAGTGTCCGGCAGCCTCGCCTCTGACAGATCCACATGTGGTAAATGCAGACTACAGATACCATGGCAGTGCCAGGATTGTGAGTGATTGCTGAAAATGTTGAAATGTACTCACTCACTTTTTATTATTATTTGTAAATATGTGTACAAATGGTTGGTTTTTTGTACTGTTTTTATCAATAAATCTCAGCAACAAAGGACATACATCCATGTGTGTTGATTTCTCCCTAAGATGGCAAACTGAAACACTCCAAGTTGGTGACTTTTGGAGATTTATTTCCCTGGATGATTGAGAATGCATCAAGATGAACGCAAAAGGAAGTTCACAGCTTTTAGCAGCTCCCCCACCCCCTCATTCACACACCCCCACTCCCCTCCAGAATTCTCAGGTAACAACCTAATTTACATATGAATGACTAGACAATTTAGCTTCCACTTGGCTTGAAGCTAAAGCTTAGCTAAAACCCTACCAGCCATTTGGCTGGAAGGCGAGTTTTAAAGGTAGAAAAGCCAAATGGCTGCTCTCTGGGGACTCTAAGTGTTAGGGACTAGTAAAGCGCTATACAAATACAGGCCATTTACCATCTAAAGCAGAATTCAATGACTGGTAAATTATTTAAAACACAATGTTCAGGTTTTTCACTCGTGTGCTAACGGGATGCGGTGTCTTTGGATTCCACAAAGACTTCAAAATTTTGTGTGATCAAACCACACAGACACACACTCTCTGGCCACTATATTAGGTACAGCTGCTCAAGCGCTCATTTATACACATGGATAATCAGCCAGTCCCACGCCACTAGACATGGTCAGGATGACTTTCTGAAGTTCAAACTGAGCATCAGAATGGGGAAGAAATTTGGGCTGTTTTGAATATTTCAGATATATTTCTCCTGGGATTTTCCCCACACATCTCCAGGGATTACAGAGAATGGACTGAAAAAGAGAAAATATCCAATTCTCTGCATGTCATCTTAATGTGCTTTAAACTGATAGGAAGGGAACAGTAATTCAAATCATATTACAACATTACAATCAAAAAGTACAGTGAAGATTTAAAGCAGCACTTTAGTCTGGTACTAGCAAGGTTAGCAAGGTGACCAGTGAGAGTGTTATCATTTGACTTGTTATGACCTGTGTTTTAAAAAACATTATATTCGATGATGTGGAGGTGGAGTAACACATGTGACATGATTTACTTGCTTTTCTACAAAGTATCTGCATGCTGTGCCATCCACATGACGACTTTTTCAGGGAAGGCCTTTCTTATTTAAACAACATTAAACTTCACTCTGTATTTTCAACAAGTCAAGTCAAGTGGCTTTAGTGTCATTTCAACCATGTGTAGTGGTCAGTACACAGTGAAGCGAGACAATCTTCCTTCAAGACCACGGTGCAACATATAACAGACAATCAACACAGGACTACATAAAGTGTACTTGTACAATAATTGCAAAAAACAAAAATAAATAAATAAACACTGAGACAGAGTGAAAGAGAGATGCGGGACTGCTGCGTGATCTGCCTCACAGAAACCTGGCTATCGGACAAGGTACTGGACTCCGCAATACAACTACCGGGGTTCTCTGTGCACCGCGCGGACAGGTCACAGGATCTTACTGGGAAAAGCAGAGGCGGTGGTGTATGTTTCATGATCAAGAACGGCTGGTGTGATTATGTGAACGTGCACCTGGTCAAATCCTTCTGCTCACCGGACCTGGAGTACCTGATGATTAAGTGCCGGCCATTCTGGCTACCGAGGGAATTTACAGCAGTGATTATTACGGCTGTTTACAT